TTATTATTTTGGGCTTCGCCAAGTTTAGTTCTCCAGAGATTGGTGTTTTATTTCGAGTTATATTTTAATGTCCTGAGGTTAAATGTAACTATGTTTCCACTTAAGCTTTCTGGAATTCGTACTCTTTAGTTTTTTTGGAAGGTCGTGTAGGTAGGAAACATATAATAATAGTAAAAATATTATTGTTTCACTATGGGGACCTCATTTGCCAGTAAAAATATGATAATTGGTTCTTTACCCTTCTACCTGGCAACAAAACTGACACCTTTTTGCAAGGAGTCATGTTTGCATAGACCGCAATACCTGCAGTCATAATACAAACAAAAGAACATAACTCTGATAATGTGCACTGTCCTTGAAGTTGATTGGTCCACACCCGAGACAGCTTTCCTTAGAGCCTAGTCTCATATGGTTTGGACCAGATGACGCCAAAAGGCGCACAACTCAAGGACAATGCACCATCAGAGTATGAGAGCTCGGGGCAAGCATCTACACTATGGGGACCTCATTTGCCAGTAAAAATATGATAATTGGTTCTTTACCCTTCTATCTGGCAACAAAACTGACACCTTTTTGCAAGGAGTCATGTTTGCATAGACCGCAATACCTGCAGTCATAATACAAACAAAAGAACATAACTCTGATAATGTGCACTGTCCTTGAAGTTGATTGGTCCACACCCGAGACAGCTTTCCTTAGAGCCTAGTCTCATATGGGTTGGACCAGATGACGCCAAAAGGCGCACAACCCAAGGACAATGCACCATCAGAGTATGAGAGCTCGGGGCAAGCATCTACACTATGGGGACCTCATTTGCCAGTAAAAATATGATAATTGGTTCTTTACCCTTCTATCTGGCAACAAAACTGACACCTTTTTGCAAGGAGTCATGTTTGCATAGACCGCAATACCTGCAGTCATAATACAAACAAAAGAACATAACTTTGATAATGTGCACTGTCCTTGAAGTTGATTGGTCCACACCCGAGACAGCTTTCCTTAGAGCCTAGTCTCATATGGGTTGGACCAGATGACGCCAAAAGGCGCACAACTCAAGGACAATGCACCATCAGAGTATGAGAGCTCGGGGCAAGCATCTACACTATGGGGACCTCATTTGCCAGTAAAAATATGATAATTGGTTCTTTACCCTTCTATCTGGCAACAAAACTGACACCTTTTTGCAAGGAGTCATGTTTGCATAGACCGCAATACCTGCAGTCATAATACAAACAAAAGAACATAACTCTGATAATGTGCACTGTCCTTGAAGTTGATTGGTCCACACCCGAGACAGCTTGCCTTAGAGCCTAGTCTCATATGGGTTGAGGAAAACGTTAAGAAAACGCGAAGTTTCAACCGTTATTTACTCTGCACCTTATCTGTACATCTCCAGATGTCTTGGGAGGTTTAGTCCATACATCTTTTTGTCCGTCTGGATGTCTATGACCTCTTTGTGACCGAATTCCTATCAATTCAACCGCCCTCCATGTCTCATGGACTCCCGGTGTGCCCGTGAGGAGAAGTGAGCCGTCCTCATTATTAAAAAAAAATATATATAGATATAATAAAAACAAATTTTTTGTTTCTTAATTATTCTTAATATTAATAACGGAAAACAGGGCATAGATACAACACACCACCATCCATCCCAGAATAATTCCCTCATCAAGACTCTATATCATAGAGCCCAATGCATATCCGACCAGGAACACATTGCCAGTGAACTCAAACACGTACGCCAAGCTCTTAAGGCTAATGGTTACTCCGACTACACAATCCGCAAAGCCATCACTCCAACCATCAAGAAGGATCATGTTGAGGAGCCTCTCAAGACCATCACCTTACCCTACATTGCTGGGGTCACAAAAAAGATCTCCAAAATCCTGATAAAACACAAGATCCAGGTCCGATTCAACACAGTACATAAAATCCGTGATCTGGTCCGATCTGTAAAAGATGTGGTTCCAGACATACAGTACCCTGGCGTCTACAAACTAAGTTGCCTCCGTGGTAGCAGTTACATTGGAGAAACCAAACGACATGTCTTGGACCGCATCTGTGAACATAAAGCAGACTTGAAACACGGTAGGCCAAACACCTCAGCCGTGGCAGATCACTGTTACAATTCAGTGGGCTCACATGATATTGACTTCTCCAAGACAGAGGTTCTCTGCAAGCCATCTGGCTACCATGAGAGATTCGTTCATGAGGCGATCCACATATACAAACACAGAGACAATTTCAACCGAGAAGATGGATTCTGGATTAGCAATCATTGGAAGGACGTAATAAACCATTTCGGATCTTAACTGATTGTGTTCACGTTTACGGTGACTTTCAGACCGCGTTCCACTCACTGGCATTGTATTCTCTGCAGGGAATTGATTCTTTGCTCCGCTGAAAGTTTTTCCCACTACTCACCATTGACATATTTCGTTGCTTCCTTTTAGTATCTTTCACACGACGGTCAATGGTACAGTATATAATAACAAATAGCATAACATGTATATGCTTAATACAATGTACAAAGTAATATATAGTATCGTAATTGTATAGTCAATATACAGCAGTGTGATATACATTAGGGTGGGTAGAATAATACATAGGGCAATATTACAATGTATAAGGTGGTTTATAGCATAACAGTATATAATTTAATGTTGGGTTTGTCTATGGCAGTATATAGTACAGTGTAGACTCGTGTGATGTAAGAGAATAAAGTTTACATGGAAGCATATTATATATTTTTTACGACGTAGAATTGTAATGTATTACTTACTGTTAGTAACTCAGCTTATTGTAGAGTATATTTAGTATACTGATGATACTATGTAGTTTATACTTTAGTTGTTTACGTGGTGGTTTTAGTTACTGCAGCTACATACTATTAACACTCCTTCCCTTTATTAATGCTACCCCTATCCCCTCCCTTTGATGCTGCTAATCCTGCATAATGCACGGGCATAAGTAGTACTAATCACATACCTGCATTTCTCATATCCCCTCCCTTTGATGTTGCTAATCCTGCATAATGCACGGGCATAAGTAGTACTATTCACATACGTGCATTTCTCATATCCCCTCCCTTTGATGTTGCTAATCCTGCATAATGCACGGGCATAAGTAGTACTAATCACATACCTGCATTTCCCATAAATATGCTAAATGCCTCTTGATATGCATATTCTTTTATCAAGGCGCTCTTTTCCCCCCTTCCAACCCAGCTTATATATATGCTCCAAGCACGTGTGCTGTTTCATTCAGACGCTGTTCGCCTCGACAGACCTGGTTTTCACCTGAGGACGGCTGCTTGCATTGTGGCTGAAACGTCGTGAGAATTGTTTTATTATGTTTTATTTTTATTATTTTATTACTTCCCTTCTACGTGACTTCACCGAAAGAACCAAGAAGATGAGTCGCAGATGTTGTTCCTTTTAGAGGCAACACATATAAATGTGTGTACAAATAATTGTAACACTGTACCACAAAGGGGTAACTGCCCCTTTACCAGATACAACCTATGGTGGTGACCACGCAACTAACGACACTCTTCTTCTTGGTTCTTTCGGTAAAGTCACGTAGAAGGGAAGTAATAAAATAATAAAAATAAAACATAATAAAACAATTCTCACGACGTTTCGGCCACAACGCAAGCAGCCGTCCTCAGGTGAAAACCAGGTCCGTCGAGGCGACAGAGTCTGAATGAAACAGCACACGGGCTTAGAGCATATATATAAGCTGGGCGCATTGACAAAGGAATTTGCATATCAACAGGAATTTAGCATATTTATGGGAAATGCAGGAATGTAATTAGTACTGCATATGCATGTGCATTATGCAGGATTAACAGCATCAAAGGGAGCTGCAGTTACTGCTGCTAAATCGAAATTTAACGACACTCTACAGAGGAGTTACTGCTAGGAAGGATCGGACCCTTACTCGGGTCTCCGACCACGTGGTTCCTTGTAGGACGAAGAGCTTCCAGTTTGAGACGCCGAGCTTCCAGCTTGTAGAACGAAGAAACCCCGGTCCCTCTCAGGGACCCGCCCTCGGCGGAGGTGACCGCTCCGCAACGTGGGTCCGCCATTGCGTGCTTCAGGTGCGGTTAACCGAGGGGATGTCGGAGCAATGCCTGGCCGACGACGTCATCAGCGTCCAAATTCTCGCCAACGATCACTCCACAACTACGGCAGAATGCAACCCACTGAGTCTCAGTGGCCCACCAGACTCCACCACGTGCGATGGACCGGCGGTCAAGGACCCAATCGAGAACTGTACGGCTGCGATAGCGGCTCTCCAAACCATGAAGTGGACTTTACCAAGGCCAAACATTTTTTTTGTGCATACCCCGGTGCGGTTGTCATTTTGTATTGTTATTATTGCTTTCTATAAGTGGAACAGCGGGTTCTTTTCGATGTGTCTGTCATTCTTCCCTAATTGTAAACAACAAATTTGAGTCTTGGTATTAGCCTGAACGGCTACATTTTTAAGAAGGGGGGGGGGGGATTGGGGTGATGTAATGATAGTAGAGTCTACTTGCTGGTGTGAGTGGGTTAGTAGCGACTGGAGGTAATGACAGGGGAATCAGCCTACAGTGCGAATGCACTCGTGGCCACACGGGAGGTAATGACAGGAGTGTCAGCTGGGGGTACGAAGGGACTGGTGGCTACGTGAATGATCGAGAATAGGACTGTGATCAGACGACGGAAGAGGATGGTAGAGTCTGCTGGTGGAGCGAGCGTCCAGAGCGAGCGAGAAGGTTCGGGAAGGGGGGAATGGCCTCGGTCTGTATATAAGGGAGATGCACGGGAGACTCAGAGCTGTTGCAGTGGGGTCTCCGCCTCTTCAAGTGAACGCGTCTTCAATAAAGAAACCATCTCAAGAAAGTGTCAAGTCGTCTTTACACATATATATGTATATACATTTGTATATATGTGTATATATAAAAACTGTCTTAATTGTGGAGGAGCTAACTTGTGTTTCTATTTAAATTGCAGCCACCTCCGCAGAGCCCCCTGCCAAGCCCCCCTCTGCCGCCACTGCCCCCTTCACCCCCCGCATCTCCACTTCTGCCATCGTCCCCATCCCCGATGGACCCACTTCATCAAATGACCCAATCGGTCGCCCCCAACCTGCCACCCGCCACTCCGCATCCTCCATCGGGCCCCACGCTGGCGGCAAATGAATCCCGCACAGCGACGGAGGCAGCGGCGGCGGCAGCGGGAGACGAAGAATCGTCAATGTGGGTGGAGGCTCTGTACAACCTGACGGTCACCGAGAGCCAGGATCTGTCGCTGGTGGCTGGGCAGGAGTATCGCGTGCTGGACCACTCGGACGAGTACTGGTGGAAGGCCAGGGACAAGCAAGGGTGAGGGCACCGCTGCCGTTGGGCATGGCTCGTGTCACATTGATCTCAGTGGGGTGGGCGATGTGTGAAGGAATTGTTTACTCATTACAATACGGATGCCGGGTATGAGGGGTAAAAAAATGTAACTGTTCGATTACAAAACTACGTAATGGTAAGGTGTTGAGAAGGACACAGTCCGGGTACGGCAAGGCAATCTGCGAGTCGTAATGCAGTTGGCACACATTGAGGCAGTTACCAGAGACAGCAGCGGTTTCTGTAGGCAGTTGAGCAACATTTTCTTCCAACCTAATGACTGTAAAATGTTTTTTTTGGGCCTGCCATTGGTAAGATACGGCGAGTTGGGGACCGTTGCTGTCACAAGGAACCATATGTACTGGATGTATGTTGAACTTCTTTCGCACCGTACGTAGCCAACTGTGCTAATCAGATGTACCGCACATATGTGCTATTATGAACACAGAAGCCCCTCTGAGCCATCAAGCTTAAAAATCGTGAAACCGTGGTCTTCTCTTCATTATCCGTAGTCAATCCGTATGGCAGGGGTGTACTAGTTTAAAGCTTACCAAATTTGAACTTGGCGGCTGAGAGAAGTTATTACGAATGGGCGCACATTCTCTGCAAGCAGTGGTACATCGTTTAGTTACCAAATGAACACTTCTGCAATGCACACATCATGTGGACATATGCACAGATTTTCACAATGTTATGCTCTGGGATATATACATAGCCTTCTATCTCCCTACAGATGCATACAGCTATGCACGCGTACAGGATTTCCATCTTTGCTGCAAAAGAGAAGATCGTGAAATCCGCGTGTAATTTTGTCATTATTTAAAATAAACGCTCTGTGTCGTTTCCTGCAGGAGGGAAGGCTTCATACCGAGCAACTACGTGATGGAGAAGACATTCAAGGGACTGGAGGCATACGAGTGAGAACGATAGAAACGTCCTGCGCACTCAGCACTCCGCCATAGTGGTGTGGACAACTCGCTCCCTCCATGGCGTGAACGTGTGAACCTACGTCTGCCTTCGATGGCATCCGTTCCTTTAAGAGCAGCCGATGGACTTCGGAGCCGTGCTTTTCCCAAAAATAAGGGAAAACTTGACTTAGGTTTGATTTACACTTGCTTGTGATGACTGAATCGGCCGATGCTGGGAGGACCGAGCCTGTCACAGTTGTCTAAAGTATGATAATCAATCGGTCAACACGGTCAAGGCAGCAGATTCCGCCAAACCTCGCAATGATTCCTTTCTTATTGCACGTGCCACAAAGATCTGCTCTTTCGGTATCCCAACTTCTGTCTTCATGTCTCCCCCTACGGTCACCAAGGATACCACTTGTGAATGAAATTTAGCCACCCACGTTACAGCAAACAGCGTGCGTTGAGTGATTCCTTAGGGAAACTAACGGGTGGCTGAGGACATTGAACTGCTACCTTCGACGAAAACTGGTTCAGTGAAGAGCATGCTGATACCATACCACCCAGCCATCCTGTAGTATACAGTACATACTAATATATATTACAGCGTGTGATTTTCTGTAAAATGAGAACACCAATTTCAACGAATGCATACCTGTCAACCCATACGGTTTACCTGTATTCTTATACAAAGAAATTGAGTTGTCAGGTCCATACGGCGTACATCCGTTTCAATACGGGCAAAAAATGCTCTATTTGTTTGTGTTGCTCCCTTGTGATGGGACTTTGTAGGATAAACGTTGAGATTTATAAGGGGCACAGGGTAACCAATGAGGTCTGCATTGGTCTGTAATAAGGAAGGCACTGATACGGGGTTGACAGGTATGTGAATGTCTTGCCACGAAAACATGAGTGCAGCGTTCTTTGGCAGTACAGTATAAGTATGTCACTTGGGCATGGTGGGCGTCAGTGAATAGACCTCAGTGGTACACTCGCGTTTCTTCACGATGACAATGTTTGTCTGCACCTGCCCGTGGGAGTCGCTGGGAAAAAAGTGCACAATGACCATCTCGTTTTGTTCGTCTCTCAGGCGGCTATTGACGGCATTGGTGGCCTGCGCACCGACTCTTGTTAACCGATGGTCTTCGGTCAATCAGCGGAAGGGTGGCAGCCACAGTGACTCCATAGCTGCAGTGGCTTCACAAGGGCAATTTAAACGCTTGGGTCGAAAACATACCTTACATATTTACCATGTCGATAATTCCATTAATATTATGTCAGTATTATTACATTTGTGTCCATATATAGAGGTGGCAGGGTGGCACAGTAGCAACACTTGTGCCTCACTGAAAAAAGGGCCTGGGTTCGATTCGCAACGTTCTTGTGTGACGTGTGCATCCATATGAGGTTTATTTGGGCTAGATCACGTACAAAAAATGTGTCGTTAAACAGTCAATTAGTAAGGTTTGGCACGTAAACAAAACATGCAATTAGTTACTAGTTCAGCACATGGGTTGTGTGTTGGAGAGTAAACCCACAACATCTACCATTCGAGTAACGTGACGTTTACAACTGGCCTCATCGGGCGACAGCCAGAAGTGTGGAGAAATCCTCCCCCTGTTCTGCACGGGCTTCCTCCAGAAAACACACAAACGCACTGCTGTTGGACAAACATAATCATGGTTAAAATGACTTACAAATTACTCAATAGGGATACAAAAATAGCGAGATCGCCCCCCGACTGCGAAAACTTGTCAGGGCTCATCTGAGAAAGAGTTGGCACTCGGCAAGGCTTCCTAGAGTGGACGGGCAGAGTAACAATCACGTCGCTTGCAGAGCCTCCTGCACTCCCCACTGGCACTGGATATCACTTTCATAATCCAATTCATGTCACGCCAAGGACTGTTTACTAACCCACGTCTCGCCATATGTCCATGGACGTATAGGCATGCACCCATCTGGCCACTGGTCTCTTGGCCAGGCGTTCTCAACATGTGGTCTGCAAGGCCCCCGGGGAATGGGTCCTCGGCACTGTTGCAGGGTTTTTCTTCTTCCACAGAACGCTACAGACATTGTCCTGCACGGTAGTCCGCGAAAGTTTGTTAAGGGTTGACAGTGGTCGATGGGTCCACGATGGCTGGGAGCCACTTCTATAGACATACTGTTACCGACTCTGGACTTGCACGATGCTGCTATGTGCATGATGTCACGTGTCCCACATTATCACTACTTTCTCTTTCTTGGTTGAGTTTTGTGATAATCCATTGATTTGATTTTTTTTCAATGACATTTTTTGTCAAGTTTAAGCAACAAAAAAACCCAACTCGCTTGCCTTGGCCCTCAGGTGGTACTCAAAGGACATCTCCCGCTCCATGGCCGAACAGCTGCTCAAGGAAGAGGTTTGCCATCGATTTGCCTGCACCTCCATGTCCACTCTTTTCCGTTGCGTGCCGGCGTCAATGGATCCACTTTTATTTTCAAATCCGAAAAATAACCCAGCAAAGTACTGGACGCGATTGAGAAACAACAATCATCGGCCACCTTACTGTGAAAACTTAGCAGGACCCTCGTGAAAATGTCTTGAGACTCAGTGAGGCTTTGTGTGGGCAAACACTCGTAATAACAATAATTATAATTAAATGCCACTCGTTTATAAATGGTCAAAGGATGGACCGTATGAATATGTGCATCCATTACCAGACAAACACAGCACCCAAGACACGGGTACAGATGGATGACTGCTCACACGCAATGGTTTGTACAGGTTCTCTGCTGGACGTTGTGCTATGTGTTCATGGGGCGATGCGTTGTTTTTTCAGGGAAAAGAAGGAGGATTTGTCGTAAGAGACTCAAGCCATGCCGGAGTTTACACCGTGTCCATATACACCAACAGTTTGGGGTAAATACTTGTTTTTAAATTGAGATCTAAACGCTGTGCATCCCTGACCCTGAACCACGTGATTCTGTGCAGCTGAATAGACAGTTTCACACATGGTGCAATACTGTACTGTCATCTACATATATATGTACAGTGAGTGAAAAAAACGTATTTGATCCCCTGCTGATTTTGTACGTTTGCCCACTGACAAAGAAATGATCAGTCTATATTTTTAATGGTAGGTTTATCTGAACAGGGAGAGACAGAATAACAACAACAAAATCCAGAAAAACGCATGTCAAAAATGTTATAAATTGATTTGCATTTTAATGAGGGAAATAAGTATTTGACCCCTCTGCAAAACATGACTTAGTACTTGGTGGCAAAACCCTTGTTGGCAATCACAGAGGTCAGACGTTTCTTGGAGTTGTCCACCAGGTTTGCACACATCTCAGGAGAGATTTTGTCCCACTCCTCTTTGCAGATCTTCTCCAAGTCATTAAGGTTTCGAGGCTGCCATTTGGCAACTCGAACCTTCAGCTCCCTCCACATATTGTCTATGGGATTAAGGTCTGGAGACTGGCTAGGCCACTCCAGGACCTTAATGTGCTTCTTCTTGAGCCACTCCTTTGTTGCCTTGGCCGTGTGTTTTGGGTCATTTTCATGCTGGAATACCCACCCATGACCCATTTGCAATGCCCTGGCTGAGGGAAGGAGGTTCTCACCCAAGATTTGACGGTACATGGCCCCGTCCATCGTCCCTTTGATGCGGTGAAGTTGTCCTGTTCCCTTAGCAGAAAACACCCCCAAAGCATAATGTTTCCACCTCCATGTTTGACGGTGGGGATGGTGTTCTTGGGGTCATAGGCAGCATTCCTCCTCCTCCTCCAAACACGGCGAGTTGAGTTGATGCCAAAGAGCTCCATTTTGGTCTCATCTGACCACAACACTTTCACCCAGTTGTCCTCTGAATCATTCAGATGTTCATTGGCAAACTTCAGACGGGCATGTATATGTGCTTTCTTGAGCAGGGGGACCTTGCGGGCGCTGCAGGATTTCAGTCCTTCACGGCGTAGTGTGTTACCAACTGTTTTCTTGGTGACTATGGTCCCAGCTGCCTTCAGATCATTGACAAGATCCTCCCGTGTAGTTCTGGGCTGATTCCTGACCATTCTCATGATCATTGCAACTCCACGAGGTGAGATCTTGCATGAAGCCCCAGGTCGAGGGAGATTGACAGTTATTTTGTGTTTCTTCCATTTGCGAATAATCGCACCAACTGTTGTCACCTTCTCACCAAGCTGCTTGGCGATGGTCTTGTAGCCCATTCCAGCCTTGCGTAGGTCTACAATCTTGTCCCTGACATCCTTGGAGAGCTCTTCGGTCTTGGCCATGGTGGAGAGTTTGGAATCTGATTGATTGATTGCTTCTGTGAACAGGTGTCTTTTATACAGGTAACAAGCTGAGATTAGGAGCACTCCCTTTAAGTGTGCTCCTAATCTCAGCTCGTTACCTGTGTAATAAAAGACTCGGACGCTTCTCTTTGACTCCGTGTCCTTTATTTGGGTTCTTGTCTTTACCCTCACGGCACTCTCTTAGAGATACTCTGCTTGCAGCCCCCGGCTGCTATCACTATTGTAGCCTCCTTCCTCTCCTTGCAGACTTGCTGCTAACTCCGTGTGCAGACTCCCGCTGCCAACTCCTTATGCAGACCCCCGCTGCCAACTCCGTGTGCAGACCCCCGCTGCCAACTCCGTGTGCAGACTCCCGCTGCCAACTCCGTGTGCAGACTCCCGCTGCCACCTGCAGCCTCCTCGCTGCTCCGGGTCGGTCACCGTTGGCCGACGGTGCCAAACCTCGTTCCCCGCATACGTGGCGATCTCGCCACTCTCCCGCTCTCGCCCTACGTGGCCTACCTCGTTCCTAGTCTCCCGTCACTCCTCCTCCTCTTCCGGTTTCTCTCCCTATAGACCTGACCCCTCTCCCCCACGTGACCTAACTCCTCCCCTCATGACGTCACCTCCGGGAGGTCGTTCACGCCCGCATTACATCACCCTCCCCCGTAGAGAAAATCCAGCCGACCTCGGCTGAACAACAACCTAACAAGTAATGCGAGCGTAAAAGACCAATACATTAAAGGACACGAAGCATACAACAACAATATAACAAGAACACAACACAAGTTAACGAAATGTGAGGGATTTCGAGCGAGTACGGGTAGCCGGACCGTCCCGGACGGTCGGCGGCCCTCCCGCCGAGCGGGAGCGTGGCAGGGTTTTAAGGGCGACAGGAGCAAGTTCATCCGTCGCCATTGGAGGCCTGCCACCGTCCCGGTCCCGTTCAGAGGCGTTCCGTAATCTCGTCCGTGGCGGGGCAGGAAGGGCTGCAGGTCCCGGAGATTCCGCGGCCCCGGTCGGCACCCCGCGAGCGGAGCGTCCTCCCTCCTGCGGCGTCACGGCCGGCTTGTCTGTAAGGGGTACGACAGGCGCTCTTGCAAGGTCAGCAGGCACAGGCAGGGGCGAGTCGGCAGCAACAGACCCCGGCAAGGCAACCTCAGGAGATGACGCATCAGGTCGCGGGGCAATGTACGGCTTCAACCGAGATGTATGTACGAACCAGCGCCGCGAACCAACCCGAACACGCGCCGACTGTGGGTTGGGAACCGCGATGAGGCGGACCGGTCCTTGCCATGGTTTATGTAATTTAGGAGAGGTACCTGGCCGCACCTATGGGCAATGAAGCCAGGCCAGGTCCCCCGTTTTCCAGGGGCACTCCCCCTTTGAACGTCGAGCACACCGCTCGTTCCGGGCCTGGGCTTTGGCCGTAGCCACGCGGGCTCCTTCCCTCGCCTCAGTGACACGGCGAACGTTGTCCTGAATATAATCCGGAAGAGGTTTAACAGGTCCCCTCGCTCCGGTTCCCAACTGCTCATTGATTGGCGGCACGTTTTCACGGCCGTACATAAGAAAGAACGGCGAATATCCAGTAGCCGCGTGCGGCGTCATGCGATACGCCGAAAGCACCCCAGGGATATGCAAATCCCAATCTGATTGTTTTTCACTGACCGTATGACACAGCATGGCGGACAGGGTCCGATTTAACCGTTCCACCATACCATCCGTTTGTGGGTGATAGGGGGATGTCCGTATCTTTTTAGTTCCAAGAGCCGCACACACCTCCCCCAACAATTTAGATGAAAAATTCCAGACTTGGTCTGTAAGGAGCCTCTCCGGCGCCCCCTTGTCCATAACATACCCAAATAGAAATGCGTCTGTGATAGACGCCGCTGACTGGTCCGGCAAAGGCCAGGCCATCGGCCAGCGGGAGAGGTACTCCACCCCCACTAGCAAATACTTATTTCCCCTAGCGGATGGCGGAAAGGGTCCCAAAATATCTAATGCCACCAATTCATTAACCCGAGATACCTCAATAGATTGTATCGGCGGCACATATGGATGTTTAGGTGGCTTCCGGCGGGCACAATCGGGACACGCGCGAACGTGACCGACGACATCTGTCGACATGCCGTGCCAATAATAGTCTCGCTGCAGCGTCAATAGGGTCTTCTGCACCCCCAGATGTAAAAGTGTGTCACAATGCAGAGTCCTAATCAATTCGTACCGCAATGATGCCGGTACAACCAGACGCCAGCGTTCCTGTATCCCTTCCCTCCACATCAGCAACCCATCTCGGAGAGCGGATTCCAGCGCACCACCCGCACCGAGTCCCCTAGTCGCCTTTTCCGATCGCTTTCGTAACGTTACCAAGGAATCATCCAACATTTGCTCCCGAATCCACACAGACCTCGGGAGACGCAAAATCCCATCAGCCGGTCCCCCATCAACCGGTCCCGGCTTAAGCGGAGCTTCAGGCACATCAACCGCCAGCGCGACAGGCTGAGGGGGGTGCTGAATCGGTCCACACCTATGCGTCCCCGACGCACACGCGCAAGGGGATCGCTGCGGCAACCTGGAAAGCGCGTCCCGCATTAGCGTGACGCACACCCTTCCGATGTTGAATTTGGAAGGAAAATTCTTGCAGCGTGTCCAGCCACCTTGCCAATTGGCCGGACGGCTGGTCCATCTTAAGAGCATACTGCAAGGCCGCATGGTCCGTGCGGACAATAAACGACCGACCGTACAGATACGGTCGAAATTGGTGGAGAAAAAAAACAATAGCCAAAAGTTCCCTGCGAGTGACGCAGTAGCGGGTTTCCGCGGGAGACAAAACCCGACTACCATACGCCACTACGCGTTCAACTCCACCTTTTGACTGAGACAACACCGCCCCAATGCCAGTGTCACTCGCATCCGTATCCAGAATGAAGGGATGTTCAAAATCCGGATAATCCAACGTCGGTGCCGTAGCCAATAGATCACGCAGGCTTCGAAACGCCGCCTCCTCCGGCGGTCCCCAAACAAATCTGTGTCCTTTCCCCGTAAGGAGATGCAAAGGCCTCGCAATCGTAGCAAAATTTGGAACAAACCTCCGATAATAAGAGGCGAACCCCAAAAACCGACGCACATCACCCACCATGGCCGGGGTTGGCCAATCACGGACACACGCAGTTTTCTCCGGATCTGTGGCCACCCCGTCCGCACTAACAATATGCCCCAAGTATCGAACGGAGTGTTGCAGTAGGTGACATTTTTTTGACTTGAATTTCAAATTAGCAGAACGCATCCTGGTGAATACAGCCTCCAACCGCAGTAAATGCTCATCAAATGTGCGGCTGAAGACGATAATATCGTCTAAATATATCAGACATGTCTCCCACTGCAACCCCGTTAATACCAACTCCATCAACCTCTGAAAAGTGGCAGGGGCCGCATTCAACCCCATCGGAAGACAGTTAAATTGGAATAACCCCTGCGGCGTACGGAAAGCAGTCTTTTCTCTCGAGGGCTCGTCAAGGGGGAGCTGCCAGAAGCCCGAAGAGAGATCTAGCGTTGAAAAGAACTTGGCCCCCGACAAGGCGTCGAGAGAATCGTCCATACGCGGCAGGGGGTACGCATCTGCTA